GGGGGGTCCACTTGTTTATGCAACGAAGTTACCAGTATGATATTTATCTACTTTACAAAGTAAAATAAAAATTTGCCAATTTCTATTTTGCATCAGTAAAATGGAATTTGTCAGCAGACAGCTGTTTCTTTTAAATGCTGGAATATGAATCAGTAGTTATCATTTCAGGGGGTTTTGTGTTTTAATATACTGCTGCTAATTTTTTCCACTTCTGTGTTTTCTAACAGTCATTAGAGTGCGATGACAGTAATATCAGTGAATTAATTCAATAATTGCTGAGCAGTGGTGTGCGGCTGATAGCTGTCAGTGATAATTTATTTGTCTTTTAGTTTCCTGAAACAAAAACCGATGCAGGCATCAGCTCCTGTTGGGACAAGAAGACAGTTATCGATGTTCACGTATCCGAGGAAGATCAGGCTCTTCAGATTAGTTAGAAAAAGAAAGATTATCTATTTTTTGTTTAATACAATTTGCAATAAATATAGGTTTACTGAAGAATACCTTTAYTTTTAATTTTGAATCTATCTCTCTGAGTTCACGTTATTTTTCTTCTGCAGAATTCYGGACTGACAACACTCTCACTGTGATTACTTCCAGCTACTTCTCTCAAGCCAAGATTTTGGCGGTAAGTATCCAACAAGCAGATTCTGTGTGCTCGACTGCAGGAGTTGGGAGATTTCGCTCCAGAGTCATTGCTATGACTATCCTTTAAAAAAAAACAACAACAACAAATAAGTAGGAACAGATCACTGCACATTGTTGAACGCCCCCATCCTCTGCGGCCCCCACTTTCAGAAATCCTGCCTGTATGTTTGCCCTCACTGTCCTCTGAAGGCATGGCCCAGTTGGCAGACTGTCCATGGCTGGATGCTTTCTGAAACCGTCCAACAATATAACACTCTGATGAGCCGTGGGGTGAAACATGAGCTGACCTGAAAGCGAATAAGCCTCTTGATTATCATTTTTTAAAAAATGAGTTCTTATGGAAGAGTGAAGTTTTCATATTTCACACCGAATTATTTCCGAGCATRTTGGGAGGGGACTAAACAGTAGTTTGCAAAGAGCAAATCAGACTAATGAGGCTGAATAGGCAAAAAGGATTGGAGTCACATGTTTTGGATGCCACTAGATGTCAGCATGAAACATGTGTTGGGTTTTTCCCATCTGTTCTTGAAAGAGCTCAGCGTGTGCCAGGAAGGAGGGAGCCAACCGCATTGAGAGTCGAGCAGGATAGGCGTGGTGAGAATGAAGGTGCAACCCGCTGCGAACGAGCATGATTTACTGTTGACTTTGCTCTTTGTGCGCCCGTCTCAAGCATACCCTTCCCTCTCCGTACACACTCCAGCACTCAGCTGATTAATCGGAGTCATTTCCACGAGTGAAGTAAGCTTGAGTCCTGCAGGGGCTGCAGAAAGCTAATAAAACCCAGCGGGAAACAGCAGCGCCTCGTGAAGAAAACATTACGGTCTGCTGCTTTTATGCTGTTTTTATTCGCCTCACTTTGCCCTCAGAGAGCCTCATTCTTAATAACACTGGTTAGGTCAAAATCTACTAGAGGAGATGAGGGAGTGATGGTAAACAATATGATGGTTAAAAATGCCACACGATTGACTAGATTTTACTAAATATAAAGTTGTAAGATTAAAATTCAGACTATGGCGAATGTGTGTTTTACCACATTTGTGTAATGTTTCTTGGTGGTTACTGGACAGATAGCAAGACTTGTTGTAGATTAAATGATTATTTGACACAGACTAACTGATATCTGCTGTTTCATTCCAGGTGTAAAATAAACTTAGGGTGTATTCAGACCTGACATATTTAGTTCACTTTAAATGGACCAGAGTGTGTTTCCCTTGTTGGTCCAGACCTTTTATGCAGGTGTGATACACTCATGCGAACCCTGGTGCAAAACAAACAACCAGACTGAGAACCATTTTTAAAGTGGTCTCAGTCCGCTTCCAAACAGATTCCGGTGCGGTTTCACTTCTGGTGTGACTACAGACCGGCCTCGAACTCATCCAACTACAGGAAACATGCACCTTTTTGGACTTCACGAGTCACCATTGTTAAGCATCATGGTAAAAACTAGATACCGCATAACGGTAACATAATGACCCCGCATGCAGAAATGCACCAGAACTCAGAAGTCTTTATTCCTAATGAATGTCACGCTACTAGGTGCAACCCGAAATTGTAGTGGTTTGGGTGGGGGTCTTTTTTATGTTTGTTTGGTTTTGTTTTTGAGGCGGGGGGCATTGTTGAACTGATGGATAGCCCCTCATCTGAGCTAAACAACCAAAGAAAATTTAAAGCTCCTATATTTAATAGTTTTGAGCTATAACCATTTTTGTATGTCCAGATACCCCTTTTTCAGATAAATTGGGGGTCCGTGGGGGCACTGATTGGTGGGCCTGATGGATAGCCCTTCATCAGAGCTAAACAACAAAAGAAATCTGAAGCTCCTATATTTAATAGTTTCTGAGTTATAAGCATTTTTGTATGTCCAGACACCCCCTCTTTGAAAGGAGCCCCCTCCTCAAATATGGGGTCTATCGTAAAACCATTGGCTGGCGCAGTGTAGGTCAGACTCATCTACAGTCCTGCCAAATTTAATGGTGATTGGTGCAGCCGTTTTTGTGCTACGGTTGACCAAAAATCACTGAAAAAAAATACAGTACAAAAACAATGACTCCTGCTTACGCTTCGCGTGCGGGGGTCAGAATTAGCCCTTCAGTGTTGCTAACGCTAACACTGCGCTACAAACAATGAGCCATTGTGGGTCAGGACACACAGAGCATCTCATCTTCTTCGGGTTGCAGCATGCATTTGCCAACGCCGTCCCAAAATTAAAAGTATATCGTTATGACACCTCCTTTGAATGAGCTGCTCTTGAAATAAATTCTCAATGGTTTTGGAATTGTATTTACAGCACCATCATTTTCCGAGTCTGTGCTCTGTCCCACCCCAGTTATTTCTGTCCAATGGGATAAATAATTGTCACCTGTGTGGCTTTATTTATAAATTATAGTCCACTTGCAAAAAAGCACAATGTAATGTGGTCCGGACCAAACAAGAGGACCAAAGGACTTTCCTGGTGTGAATACACCCTTAGACTAAGCTATAGTCCAGAATAAACCAAGATGACTTCTTGAATGAGGATGAAAACTAATCTAGCTTGATATTTAAATTAGGCTTCTAGGAGGAATATTTACTTCCACATTTTTTKTTCTTTTGCTGTCAAAAAGCAAAAGGCACATGATCAAGTTTTTGGTAGTTGTGTCCCAATAATGGTATCAGTTTTAGTCCCCATACCAGCATTTTTTCACAATGACTCAGTTGGTGTTGCCTCTCAGCAAGAAGGTTGCTGGATCAAATCCCAACCTGGGACCTTTCTGAGTAGAATTTGCATGTCCTCTTTGTGTCTGCACGAGTTTTCTCGAAGCCCTCTGGTGTGAGTGAATTAGTGAATGGTTGTTTGTCTCTATGTGACCCTGTGATGGTCTTGTCACCTGTTGAGGCTGAAGCCCTCACATAGAGACTGCTGGATATGGGCACCAGTGTCCCCCGTAACTCTGAAAGGAAGAAGCAGGGAAAGATAATGGATAAATGTATTAGACTGGATATTTGATTTGATCCAGTCAGAGGAGCTGTATGCGTATAAGGAATGAGAGCCACCTTGTTTTAAATCAAAGAAATGTGTCTTAAAGGTTATTGTGTAATRTTTAAGTTCTAACTCATTATAGGTACTCTGTATTGGTGAGTACCCAAACTGAAGTATTCACACTTGTACTAGCTTGGAGAAAAACTGGTATCGGGACACCCTTATTTTTTTTCTGTGTGTGTGTTGACGTATTTTATTAAAACTCTCAGAAAGTAATCACTGGATGCACATCTTCAACTAACTGACTATTGGAATCAACTCAATTCAAGATGGCTGCCACAGCTTATCAAATTTAGAAAACACAAAAGAATGGCTCATTTGACTCAGTCACTGTTGTTGCTGTTATGTAGGACTGAAACTGACAATTAAAAATAAAAGCAGAAATATATAAATGGCTGGATAAATAAGTAAATACACAAAGGCAAGGAGAAAAAACACTTACCTGTGCCTTTGTTTTAAGCTAAACTTAAARCTAAAATAGGGCAGCACAAGCATGCCCAATCAATCTGCACATGGATCCTGCTCCWTCCTGTCTGTTGACCAATAACAGAGAATCTAACCCAAGAAGGACCACCCACCTTATTTACATAATAAAGCAGAAACGCATACAAAGTAAAAATCAGGAGACAGAAAAATGTAAAAACAACCCATGCGAAAAAAACATACATACATACATACATACATACATACTGCTTTCCTTTTTTTAAAGCAGCAGATTGGTTTCACAGAATCTCCTCATTATGTCTAAAGCAGAGACTCTTAACCCATTGGACGTGGCCCATTTGTGGGCCGTGAGCGCCACCTTGAGGCCTCAAAAGAACAACAGTTTTTAACTTTGGGCCGCAGAGGGCCGTGGGACCGCAT